AATTATAATTTAATCAAAAACACGAACGCATGTCAAAGTAATAAGGGTCGCAGGCTTCAAAATTTAAATGTCAAAAGGTCATTTACATTATAAAAACTTTTTTGTCACAAGCAACTCAAATAGTATTTTCTTAAATCTAGATGTAGGTAATATTGTTAAATCGTCATGTAATATATTATATAATTTTACACACATGTTATTGCAATTCCTTTGAAAACATGTAGTAGTGTCAAATGTAATAGTGGCATGTCGGGCCAAACGATATATATTGGGTTCAAAAAGGAACATTTTTTGAAGTAAATATATAACTACGTTTTTGACAAAAATACACATCTCGAATATATATAAGGAAGAAAGTGACAATATTCTTAGTTTTTTAAATAAGGGTTTGCCCTCGCCTCTACGTACTTCTTCTGTAGTATAAGCATCTGTAGTATGAGCTCGACCTATGTGAACAGAGTTACCCCAGATAACAATTTCATACCGCAGACTCGAACACACATAACCGTGGTATGCCATCAAAGTAGTTTTCTGGTAACAGATACTTTTAAACCGATAAATTGCGTACACAAATTTGTTGATTTTTTCACAAACTGATTCAACATGTTCTGTCCAGGTCAAATGTGTGTCGAGCTACTATGGGACTATTGTTGTGTGCTATGGAGGGTTTTGCAGGATTTTTATTATGATTTAGGAATTGTAACGTAGTTTTAGACAAGTTTATTTGAAAGTTATTGCATTCCAACCAATTCACTACTCTTTTGATAGTTTCGTTTATTTCGAATTCCAAATCAAGTATCGGTCTTTTGTTTAACTACAATGGATAGTTTGTTTAATAACAGTAGTAATTTATTTAGTAGCAGTAGAGCTCCTTGTGAAAGAGTTCATCTAGGGAAGTACAGTTACTTTACCTATTTTTAGTAATGCTAAACCCTTGCTAGAGAGGAGATACGTGATATAGCAGTGAGACATTTAAATGAGTTGATGTTGATGATAAAAATCAAGGAGCAGTAAGGCGCAACATTTATTTTCGGTTGAAATTAATTAAAATGGAAATGGCAACATAAATTGTTACCTATACATAAAAAATTCTACTAGTAGGAAATATTTTCACAGAATTCATTACAGTTACATATGAAATAAAATTGTATATGTATGTAATAATAGTTTTTTTACAAGTGTAGAAAAGTAACTGCTCATATCATTGACTAAGTAGAGCCCCTAGTAATATGTTGACAAAGGTTAGTTAAACAAAGTGACGTATCTGCTACTTACTAATGTCTTAATGAATTGGTAAATGAATGAAATCACTGTTGGGTTTTCCCACCTTATTTTTTGCGTGTTTTTTTTGTGTCAAAGTCAAACGATAGCCTTGGTAGTATTTTATTGGTTAATAAATTCATCTTACATCGTTTGTACTTGGATACTGGTGTAAGGAGAAAAAGATTTCACACATTTTTATGAGTTGTAAACCGTCTTCGTTATACAGGTTTCATCACGATATGTACTTTCACGGTTACCGATAGGTATTGCTGTTTAAAGTTCGTAAATGTAAATAACTTAAAAACTAAAACTCAAAAGTCGTCCTGGCATATATTGTAATCACACACACACCACACTCTCTCTCTCTCACACACACACACACACACACACACACACACACACACACACACACAC